ATCCTTTGGACATCCATTAAGAATGACAAAGACGAGAGTTGTAGAGAAGGAACCTAGGATCCACATTCGCTATTTGGACTAAAATCTCATACAAGTCGTGATTTTATCTAGAATTCCCCATTCAACCCTATCATATGTCTTCTCATGTCTAGCTTCAATAACACCCTAGGCTCACCACTCAATGGTCTTGAATGAAAACATTTATGTGCAATCAAGATATTATCCATCAATGATTCTATCTTTAGTTAAAGCAGATAAGGATAAAAAAATGACCATAAGTGAGCAACATCTTGAACTGAAGAGCCAAATTCTTAGCGGTAATTTTATAGAAATTGGTAAGGCTAATATGCCTTAGGTCATTGATATCTGCAATAGAATCTCCATTAGAAATCAAAGCAATGAATGTAGAATTAATACATTTATCAATCACCCCTCTCTCCATGAATTCCTGAATCATCTCCAGCACTTCGTCCTTAACCAAACCCCAAAAAAATTAAAAGAATGTAAGGGGGAAGCCGTTTGGCTCAGGGGCTTTCTCACTTGGCAATGAAAAAGCTGTGTTCTTAACCACCTCCAAAGTAATTGGAGCATCCAACTTCCTCACATTTTGCTCTGACATGCATTAAAAAGCCTAGAAAAAGCCTACCGCAATGTTGTATTCACTAGAAAAAGCCTTCTCTCAAAATGCTTGATGAATTCATTATCCTAACATGTTTCATCATCCTCCTATACACCATTGAAATATATACTTGAAATATCATTGCGATGTCTCTTGACATTTGCAATTGCATGCAAAACACCAATGTTCAAATCACACTCTTTAATCCACTTCACCCTAGACCTTTATCTCCAATAGATCACATCTGGCTAAAGCAGATCATGTAAGGAATTATTGATTTGAGTTCTCTCCATTACAAGAGCTTTAGAAATAACACCATTTTTCTAAATTTTGTCCTCAACGTAATGAATGCATAGCAAAGTAGAGTCTATCTTGGATTTTAAGTAGAATCTAGTATTTCTTTTCTAGTCAATTAATTTGTGCTTGATATTAAGGAGTTTCTTATGCGATTGCAATTTCCATTCTGAATTGGCCCTATTAGCTCTTTACATGTTTGAAGGCATAATAGAACATGATACGATGAAAATTTAGGAAGTGAATTTATGCTAGCCAAAGTGAATGGCCTTTCCCATTCAATAAGGACAAGAAATCTTTCTAATTTACTCATCATCATATTAGAGAGGCTATTATTTGAACCAAGTGAAATGTGTACCAGTAATAGGTAATTCAAGCAAGCCATTTCTTGTGATATAATTATTAAATATGCGCATATAAGAATTAAAGACAATGTTGGATGAGGTTTTGTCAAGCCCTCAAATGAAATTATAATCCTCACCCACACAAAAAGACAAAGCAACATCCATAGCACAATAGGATAAATCATGCAAAAAAGGGCTTCTAAGAGTAATAAGATTAGATGCATATATATTGATAAGCAACCATCTAAATACACCCAAAAATCTTTCATGCTTAATAACATCCACACAATTAAGGACAGTAGGATCCCAAAAAACCAATAAACCCTAATAACATCCACACAATTAAGGACAGTAGGATCCCAAAAAACCAATAAACCCCTAGAAAATCCTACAAGGTTGACTCCACAAGAATAACATGTCCCATACCCCATACTTCTTTAATGTTTCTAACCATAGGACTACGCAGTTTAGTTTCTTAAAGCATCACAACATCAGGCCTGTAACTTTGAACCACAAAACTAGCTTCACCTAAGCAGCCTCCACTTTGTTGGCATGACTCACCTGCACTACCAGCGGGTTCATCGTCACTACCATCACTAAAAATAACCAACTCACAGTCACCTTCCTAACGAGCCCCTTTTTGCAGCCACTCTAGCAGACGAACGAGTAGGCCTCATAGGCATCTTCTCTTTTCCTTTGCCTATGGAGCCTCCCTTCACCTTCCTTTGTCCATCACTGGGAACCTCAACACTTCTTCGCTCACTCTTAAGCATCGATGTCCATTATTGCCTCTTCAACTACTTCAGGGAGATCCAAAGCGTTATCTTGCTAACAATCTAAGAGAACATGCATGAATCCAAGTCCTAGATTAGGCTGAGGCAAAGGGTAATTAGGTAAGATATTTAAAGGTGGAATAACCTCGGGTTCCTACAAACTTTGCACAAAATTTTTAGGATTCTTCAGCAACCCCGTATCTCCTTCGTCTACCTCCATTTCCAGAACTTCTTCATGTCCCTCTCCCTCTTCCTGGTCCAGCTATATCACAAGCCTAATCATGACTTCTGGATTCACCCACTGTCCTCCATTTTTAGAAGATGAAAGGACCATAGACTGTCTCTACAGGTTTTATTGGTTTCCAAATTTGAGGAAAATTCTGTTTGAATTTGAAAGTTTTGGAAAAGCTAACCTAGATGTAAGTAACCATGTCCAATTTTGAGTTTTAAGCTTAGCAGAGAGACCTATTCATCTATTTACTAGGTACTGTACAACCATGTTTTGAACCCTTATTCCTTCTAGTGACCAAAGTCCAACCCTCCTCTACTTCGATAGTTTGTTAGATATATTTTTAAAAATCCCTCATATATGTTTAAGACAAGAATATTATTAAACAGGAGGGTCTGTTCACTAGAATATAGTTTTTATTCCTTCTAGTGACCAAAGTCCAACCCTCCTCTACTACAATATTCTTGTTAGATATGTTTTAGAATTTTGGCTATTTTCTAAATTTGTAAAATTCAATATTTAATTTGTAAAATTCTGGTGGGATCAGAATGGATACCTAATAGAAGGGAATGGGTGGAGTGGATTTCATGCAAATTTTTAGGATACTTGATTATTAGGTTTAAATAATTGTATAAGAAGAGAAACATGTGGATCTATGGAATATCCATATAAAATTGAGGGCACTTTTTTTTTTAATGGTCTTCTAAAATATAACATTGTCATAATTTTCTCATAATAGAAAATATTGATATTTTAGGAATTAGCTTTGGACTTGAAATCAACAGTTCACGTTAGCAATGCTACATCTCCTTATTCACCCACAAAAAGAAAAAAAAAAAATACTCAATTTCAATTCCTCTCATAGAATTGCCCAAAAAAAAAAAGAATCATTTTCCTGATTAGCATAAGATTTGTTCAAACTCACGACCTCAATGTTGATACCACCTTATAGATATCGGATCAAGCCAAACTCTAGGTATTTCCTTTTTCTTACATAAAGATGGATTGGAAGTTGGAACAAGTAACCTTGATTTTGCAATAATAATAGCCTATCAATGGGCTTGAAGTTGATTGAGAAATGGGCTTGAACCAAAATGGATTGGAAGTTGATTGAGAAATGGGCTTGAACCAAAATTTTGGAATTTAAATGGGCTTAAATCAAGTGGTTTATCACATATTTTGGCTTGTAAAGATAAAGGCCGTGGTGAGAATTGGTAGAAGTATTTCAACAGTTTCAAGTTTTTACGCTCAGGTTGTGCGGTCATATTAACATTAATGCATCGGATCCTATCAGAACTCTAAAGTTAAGCATGCTCGGACAAGAGTAGAATTAGGATAAGTGACCTCCTAGGAAGTCCTTATGTCGAACACATTTAGAAATCGGGCTTGGGCTTGAGTGGTTGGCAGCTAACGTTTAGTAGTAGTACCAAGATGCACGATCTTGTGTAGCACCCCTTAGGAATCGCGTTTGGGCTTGAGTGGTTAGCAGCTAACGTTTAACAATGTTGTATCTCAAATTCGATTCCTACCACTGAAGTAGCAAAAAAAAAAAAAAGATTTTACCTTCAGGGTCTTAGCAGTACTTTAAACATCATCCCTTTTCTTTTCATCAGTAATTTCTCTAATGCAGCATGAAGAATATCTACACTTACGTGAGTGGTTCATTGTCCCTTGTGGTTATAAGGCAGTATAGACAATTATAGGTTTTGTTTTTACTTGTTTGGGAAAGAACAGTGTTATCTCAAAACTGAGGAGGGCTTGGTCCATTCAAAACCAGTCCGACCAGCTGCAAGATCAGTTGGACCTTTTTTAAATGTAAAAATTAGAAAATTGACTAAAAATTAAAAAACTCAATAAAATAAGAAAATTAGTAGGTATACCCATTAAAAAGTTGTTTTAAAATGGGAAAATTTTCGAAAATGACATAAAAAAATCCAACTTGTGCAAAAAAAACTAAATATTGAATTTTATAAATTTAGAAAATTGCCACAATTCTAAATCGGAAATTCATCCAACCTATGATATCATCATTAGTAAATTATTCTTGTCCATGCTCCATAAACATACAACAAAGTTGACTTTTTGAATCAATAAAGAAGATATAATTTACATTATTCTAAACAAATAAATATGGAAGGCATGTCATATTTTCATGATATTATCATCCATCAGTCAATTCCTATTTTCCCCTCGATTCATAATAAATTGAAGCTTATTCTACTAGTCCAATTAACATCAAATAAATCCAAAATTTTCATATCCCATTGTCACAATCCTTATTCCTCAAAGTAGATAATAATTCAATTGTCTAATCAATGTCGTCCATATAGTAGTTCCCCTCTTCAAATTTGCCCTATCATCTACGTGAAATCATGGATAAATTGGTTTTTAATAGATATATTTTGATAGGGAAAATGGTAAACCCCTCCCCCCGACAAGCTGACTTTTGTAGATAACATGCCCCCAACCAAGTTTTTTTAATAACTTTTACCCAAAATTTAATTTCCTAACAAATATCTTTCCAAGTCAAAAAAAAAAAAAAAAAAAAAAACAAACTACCCTCCTTTACTTTTTACCCTTCCATGCCTCTCTCTCCTCTTTTCCCACCCATCAACCAAATTATTTAACTCTCTTTAAACATTTAAATGACCCACAAAGCACTCGCGCTCTCTCCCTTTCTTTCTGGACCTACGCCCTGAGTTCCCCCCCCCCTCTCTCGCTCTCTCTTCCCGAAGCCAAGGCCCGAGCTCTCTCCCTCTCTCTCTCTCTCCCTCGAAGGACCCACGGCCCAAGCTCTCACTCTCTCTATAAATCATCTTGGGCTCTCAATTTTCCAGCCCCTGACTAAGCCACCAAAGCCCTAGCTCTATTTCTCAGCCCCAGACCAAGACATCCAAGCCCGAGCTCGATCTCTCAACCCCATCAAAGCCCTCGATCTTTTATCTGTTTCTAATAGGTATGAAAGACTATTTTATTTATTTCCTATAAATTAAAAAAAAAAAAAAAAAAAAACAATATCCAATGACTTGTAGCTCAGATATTTTCTTGATGAGATAATATATGTATATATTGTATCTGTCTATATTGTTGGATTGAACTATAGTGCATATATTGTATCTATCTATATTGTTGGATTGAACTATAGCTTAAAGGAATGGTATTGTTACTCAATATAGATAGTGCTCTCATAAATTGGAGATGCATATCTTTTTATCCGTTTTTTTTTTCTATCATTTCTGATTCTCTGTGTTTTAACTGCCCATCAATTTGTTCAGCTGTGTGTATGTGTGTGTGTGTGAGAGAGAGAGATTCATGTCTGTGACCTTGTCACACAATTATATTCTTGCGAATAATTTATAAGTTGGAAGCTTCAACTTTTTTTCTCCAATTTGAAATGCCTTCGAATCATTTATCAATCCAAAATTTTGCTTGCTAGGTTCTTTGAAATTAGTTATATGTTCACATCTGTGAAGTCATTTGGTTTTGTTTGATTTTGCAAAAGAAAGGCATTGCGCTAATGTGAGAGACATTGGGGTTCATGGTCTCACTCTTGAGTATGAATTAATTTTTTATTCACAAAAATCTTGAATTGCATTTTCATCTTAAAAGTTGGGTCATTTTCCATCATTTACTAAAAATCGAGAGTCATTATCTGGGTAAAATCGTTAAGATTACCATAGTTAGATAATCATTGCTAGAAATGTTTATGTAGGTTATATGCTCAAAAAATATGCCTAGCTCTTGTTATAATTTAGTAGTAGCTCTTTTTGCAAAACTCTAGCTTGAGCCTACCAAACTTGGACACGTTCAAGACCAGTATTAGGATATATATACAATGTATAAAGTATAAGTTATTACAAATCTTGTACAGAACAAAAGAAAATGGGTGGTAGGATAGTAATTTATTGCATTTTTAATGGACAACTCCAATTAAGTGTTGATGAGACTTTAGATTATATTGGTGGTGATGCATGTACCTTTTTTATTGACAGCATAATTAGGTTAGATGACACATGAAAATATGTAGCAGAATGTTTGTCACTTGACATACACTTGATATCATTGAGGTATTTTGTCCCAAGAAAAAAGAAGATTTATTGTGAACCTATTCATTGATAGGAGTGAACAAGGGTGGAAGTACTGGCCGGGCCTAAATTTACCGTCGCTCAGGCTCCCTCGGGGACCTGGGCTTGATGAACCCACTCTCAAACAACCACTCAACCCCCACACGCGTGTGCGCTCGCGTGCCGTATACTGATGGCTATTCCAATTGTGAGAGGATTTTCAAGCAGTAAAGAGGTGGACTTGAACATCTACCTCATTGGTTGAGTTCGTGGGACACGTCCGAGCCGTAGCCCTCTTAGATAAATTACGAAAGCCCTCCGGCTGTCCAGCAGCGTAGTTTAATTCGGCCCCCTCTAAGATCGATCTCTCACTTTGACTCTCACTAAAAGATCGCTGGTAGAATTTGATATGGTAACCTCCTCCAAATGCATGTATGGAATAGGGATTCTAGTCTTAAAGGCTAGAGTGATTGAGAAGAAGAAAAGATCAAGAAGAAAGATAAGAAAGAAAAGAATAAGAATAAATTGATGGGGGCTTAGTTTAGAGATAAGAAGATGACATAGAAGAAAAGAAGGCACGACCCAAGAATTGGACAGCCTCTCGGCATAACCTCTCCTAAGAGGTGTTACTGGAGACAAGGGGAAGGTACTAGGCTCAAAGCCTTGATACCCGGAGGTTTTGGGAAGTGGGGTCGCTGGACTTAGCCCGTGACTATGTCACTAACCCAAAGAGCCTCCTAAAAGTAACCCAGAAAGAAAGAGAAAAGAATAAAAGAGAATGAAATAGATAGAAATCTCTCACAGCTGGAACACTATGTAACCTGGTGATTAGAGCAGTTCAAGGGTTAAAACTCTTTTAAGAATACTCTCAGGAGGACCTTAACCCAAGTGATCTTGTGTAAGAGAATATAAATCTCTTATGACCCAAAACACTATGTAGACCGGTGGTTAGAGCAGCCCAAGAGTTAAAACACTAAGAAGTTATCTCAGGAGGACCTCAGCTCAAGTGAGTGACGGCAAAAGAAGAGATGAAAGAGGTTAGAAAAGAGAAAGAGAAAGCGACAAGAGAGAAGAAGGAGATGAACAAGAGAGAGAGTGGATGTGAGAGATGGGAGCGAGAGAGTGGATGAGAGAGAGTGAATAAGGAAGAGAATGGATGCATGAGAGTAGGAGTTAGAGAGAGTTGAGGGGGAGAAGAAGGGTCTATTTTTGGTCCGGGTCCATGACTAGGAGGAAGAGAGAGGGTGAGGGGTGTGGAGAGAGAGAGAGAAGAAAAAAACAGGCCTGCCCCTGACGTGGGTCCGTGACTGGGAGGGAGAGAGAGGGTGAGAGAGAGAGAGAGATTGAGAGAGAGAAGACCGGCCTGCCCCTAGCTCAAGTCCATGACTAGGAGGGAGACAAAGGGTGAGAGAGATAGATTGAGAGAGAGAAGAGGGCCCGCCCCTGGTGTGGGTCCGTGACTAAGAGGGAGAGAGAGATGATAGAAGAAGAGGGAGATGGGCCCACCCTTAGTGCGGGTTCGTGATTAGGCAGAGAAGTGATAGAAAAAGAGAAAGAGAGAGAAAGAGAGACAGGCTCGCCCCTGGCGTAGATCCATGTGATGGGGAAGAGAGGAAGAGAGAGAGAGAGCTCGGACCTACCCTGGGTCCAAGTAGAAGAGAGAGAGAAAGAGAGAGAGATGAATGAGAGAGCTTGGACCCATCTTGGGTTCGAGTGGAAGAGAGAGAGGGAGTGAGAGAGCTCAGACCCACCCTGGGTCCAAGTGGAAGAGAGAGAAAAGAGAAGAGAGAATAGAGAGAGGAGAGAGAGTGGACCTAAAGTAGACTCGAGCCTAGGAGCGCTTTCGCGAGTCCCTTTGAAGGTCTAAGTTCTAAGTAAATGAACCTAGGTGGGTTGGGGTAATGTAGGGTATAGGCTAGGGTATATGGAGTAGGCTAAGGTGTATGGAGTAGGCGAAGAGAGAATAGAGAGAGGAGAGAGGGTGGGCTTAAAGTAGACTCGAGCTTAGGTGCGCTTTCGCGGGTCCCTTTGAAGGTCTAAGTTCTAAGTAAATGAACCTAGGTGGGTTGGGGTAATGTAAGGTATAGGCTAGGGTGTATGGAGTAGGCTAGGGTGTATGGAGGCTAGGGTGTATGGAGTAGGCTAGGGTGTATGGAGTAGGCTAGGGTGTATGGAGGCTAGGGTGTATGAAATGGACTAAGGTGTATGGAGTAGGCTAGGGTGTATGGAAGCTAGGGTGTATGAAGTAGGGAGTAGGAAGTTAGGAATTCTAAGAAATGGGAAGTTTGGAGTTTTAGGGAGTGAAGGGTACTAAGTGTAGTTTTTCTCTCAAACAAGTGTTTCTCTCTCCTCTCTCCTTGAGTTTGGAATTGAGATTGAAGCAAAAGAAGAAGCCTATGCTCTTTAAATTCTCAAGCATTTTCAATGGATTTCCAAAATTCCCTTTACAAATTATTTAACTTGTTTATATAGAGCATCCCCTAAACATGGGTGGATGCTAAAAAACCATTAAAATTGTTAGAAATTACACATTTAATGGAATAAAATAATAATCCCTTTTTTGAAAATAATGACCAAATTACCCCTAACACTTTTCATTAAATGATGAAACCATCACTCCTTGAGGGGCCTCTTGCCATTGCTAGCCCTTAGGAGCTTTTTTAGACGTTTCTGGCAGCAATTTGGGCGATCAAATGTTGTAGAATAATTTCTTGCAATATTACGCACATTTTGATACCCATTGATCGACTTGAAACAGGGTTTTATGGGAGAACCCAAAATCCAGCCCAGTCTATAAACTTTTGATTCTTCGACCACCGATTTAGGCACGTTCTATGATGTTTCGAGAGCTCTTTTTTATCACGAATTGAAGAGGATACTATCATGATCGTTTTGTAATAAAATTCATCCGTTTTAGTCTCCGTTTGAGCGCATTCTAAATTGGGGAGGTTGCCGGAAAATGGGATTCCAGTGACCAAAAAATGCGCCTTCTTAACCTCAAAATTCAGTGTCATTTGGCCTTCAATCATGCACAAAAATTACATCAAACTGAAGCCCTTCAAAGCACGGTCGCAATAGATTGATACTTGTGACGATCCGACATCGAGATATCAAGTTAGAACCTCTTGAAGAATGAGATATTTCACTTTTTAAAATGTGAAATTTCAAGTTTCAAGCCCATCTTCTCTTTAAGAATTCTCTCGTTTCGGTTTATTGCATGTTGTATGTCAAAACGAGCGTATTGACGAGATCTAGTCCGTATCCAAAGTTGAGAGTAATTGGACTCAAAATAAGCAAGCTATGAGTATTTGAGAATTCATCCTGAAATGAGAAAACACAGTTTCCATAAATGGAAAATGGTTCACTAAAGCTGCATCGCAATAATGTAAAGCCCATAATATGTTGGTAAGTTATACACAGAATGGTCCCGGAAGGTCCGATTGGGCCAAAATTTAGTATTTGGGGGGTTTTTAGACATTCCAGATCTAATGACAGTGGTATGATGTTCATCTAAGATCTGGAAAATGGGGTTTTAGCTATACGATCCGTTTTCAGCATGAAAGAAATTGAATTTGAAAACCAAATTCTGTCTTGATCGGCTCAAAACATGTCGGAATGTGACGAAACTTTAAGGGTGTCCGTAGGGCATCCAAAACTACCCTGTCATGAATTTTGATGCCAATCTGACACTTCTTTTGATATTACCCAAATTAGGCTTATATCCACAATGTTAAAGTGTTTGGCGGCGTTTTTGGCATCGACAAGCCCAAGTTACGACCGGTTTTCTTCTTATGCATCCTGGGGATACAAGTACATCAAAAATGATTTATAACATGTACTTCATATAATTCTAGGGCCATCAAAGAGGCCAGACAGCCCCCCCCCGCTACAATCCTAAAATGTTATTGTCTCTAGTTCCGAACAAAGTAATGGACCAATGTTTCTTAGTTCATGGGAGGATGCACTTATTGCAATATGGTAGGAGTTTGAATCATTAAATGACTTCCAAGAAGCCCTTAACAAGTTTGCTATAACACATCATTTCACATACCGTCTTGTTCAAAATGAAGGGTATCGCATAACTACGAAATGCAAAGGTGATGGATGCTAATGAGAGATATATGCTTCGAAGTTTGGTAAGACTAATGTTTTTGGATTCAAAACATGGAGAAGAGAATGCTCATGTAATATGGGGAGAAGCAATGATGTACAGAGAAGAGCGTCACATAAATTTATTGCTTCCTTAACTAAGGATAAATTAAGTGACAGTGTGCATTACAAAGGCAAATAAATCATGAGTAATTTCTCGAGATTATGGTTTAGAACTACCTTATTGCAAGGCTGGGAGAGGGAAAGAAATGATCATAAAAGACATACATGGGTCATAAGAGGAAGCATACAACTAGTTACCAGCATATATAAACCGTGCGATGGAGACGAAACTTGGTAGTTATGAAAAAGGACAAGTATGGCTAAGTGGTAGAATTTGTTGATTGTTCTTAAGCTTTTATGGCTCCATACATGGCTTCAAAAGTAGATGTTGTCCACTTCTATTTTTCAATAGACATCACTGAAGGCATGATACCTTGGGATTTTACTTACTGCCAAGTCACTCGATGGGGAAGAACAAATGTTTCATGTTGCATTCACTATTGTGGATGCTGAAAGTACCGATAACTGGTTATGGTTTATGGAATCTCTAAAGATTGCTAATGGGATAGATCGTGAAATCACTTTTGTATTAGATAGACATTAGGGTCTAGTTGAGACTGTTTGTCAAGGTTTTTAGAATGCCCATCATGCCTTCTATAAGCATCATTTAGGGGAGAATTTCAAGAAGGAAGAAAAATGCATACCTCATGATGTTAAGAAGGCAGTTGTAAGTGCATTTATCGGAGCGTGTAGAGCATACAGACAAGATGTCAGTGCATTTGACAAGATGAGTGAAAGTATATCAATTTTTGAGGACGCATTCAAGTGGTTCACATAAGCATCGCTAGACTGTTGAGCTACATTATTCTTCAGGGGTAGGCTATATGGCTAAGTAACAAGTAATGTGATTGAGTCATCTAACAAGCGGATTCTAGAAGCACGAGATATGCCAATTCTTCAGTGCATTGACTAGCTTAGGAGATAAATCATCGCACTAATGGCCACGCGCAGCTTGGAAGTTGAAAACTGGGATGCAACACTTACCCCACACACTCAAGATGACCTGAGAGAAATCATAAAGCGGTCCCTTTTCGTGAGGGTCATTGTATCAAATGGAAAAGTGTTTGAAGAATGGATGATCACATGAATTATAAAGTAAATATTATTGCATGAGAATGTGAATGTCGAGGTTAGCAAATAACAGGTTTGCCTTGCAAATATGCTTGTAAACGCCTTCAATAGATGAATAGGGATCCCATTGGCTATTGTAAAAACTATTTAACAGTTGCAAACTATCGTGAAGCATAATATGAAGTTATCGTGCCAGTTACCTTGATAGATCTGTTTGGGCATAGTTTGGATGGAAAACTTTCTCCATATGGAGTAAGAGTGCTTCCATCTCACTCAAGATGTCCCCTTGAACAACCTAAAAAGCAACGCATCGAGTCGCAAGAAATACCAGTGCGACCTATTCACTGTAGTCAGTGTAAAGGAACTGGAGAACCCACTTGAAGGCATATACTTTTACTTATCTTTTTCTCTTTGTATTTTTTAATTGGAGCATCCACTTGTGGGGAATTTTGTTAGTATATATAATAATAGTGTTTGTTCCACTTGTGTTCATTTTGCGCTATTAGTGCACATATAATGATGTTTGTTTCTTTTTTATTGGAGCACCATAATTGGTTTTGAATGAGCCATTTTCTCTCTCTTTTTTATTGGAGCATCCACTTGTGGTTATTTATTGCCAATGCATATGTACATATTTTTTTAAATGGTGTTGTGCACATGTAAACTAATAATATAAAAAGATTTAGTGATGCAAGACCTGGAACAACCAATAGGAACAAGGGACCCATCCACTTCGTCCGATCAAAGGCAAAAGGTATGGTGGTTTATTTGTTTTAATTCATGATTTATATTGATTAGGTAATTCTCATATTGTTAATAACTATTGTCATTTATTATTAAATTTCATTTCAAGAGAGAAAGAATATTTGCATTGACAAATCAACTAAAGCCCTAGGAAAATGGGAGCTTGATCAACGACAAGTAGCTCTAGTTCAAAAGATCAGATGGAGCTCATTGATAGACATTGGGGTCTCCCATCGATTGCAGACTACTGATGGCCTTTATAGGGAAATGGTTCAATGAGACAAATACCCCATGGTTAGCCATTAGTGAAATGGCTCAAGCATTATATGCTGTGTGGCAAATATTAAGGATACTCGTGACAAACAAACTTGTAATAATCATCAGGCTTGAAAACTATAGGGCTTTCATCAAGAAGTATCTGGGAGATTGCCCTAAAGATAATAAGTTGGTGCATCTTAAACATACATGGTTGATGACGAGATTCGGGCAACTACCAAAAAAAAACCACCAATGTACAACTGATGCAACACACTCGGGGCGTATCTCATTTATTTAATCGATACAATTATATTTGTTGACTCATCTAAAGGATCGACGCATGCAATGTACCTGTAGTTGTTTCGAGATTTTGATAAGGCAGGGAAGTATGCATGGGGTGCTGCAGCTCTTGCCTTATTGTATCGTTTCTTATCTAAGGCTGTGGGCGGGGAGACTATGCCTTTAAGTTAGTCAGCAACCCTACTACAGGTAATTCTCACTATCTTTTTAGTCTATATTTAGAGCTTTACAATTTCTTTGGCTTCTTAATATTTTTTGTGCAGTGTTAGATCTATGAGCATTTTCCAGCTCTAGGCACCAAGGCTACATTGATCAACCTAGGAATGCCTAGTGCTTGCGTGTGGAAGAAACAACCACGCCACAAAGACTTGTTACAAGTGCTTGATGACATCTCATTTGATTAGGTTACTGGTTAGCTTGTGTGCTTCTATAGTTGTAGTTAATCTACCAAAGGCAAAAACAAATAAGTTTTTATTGTGTCATGCTTCTTTTTGTAAGTGATCTGTCAGCCATATTAGGAGTCCCGCAATGAGGAGCACATCTCATTAGATCTGCTCAATCAAGATATCACGTTATGCCAAATATACCTGATAAGTTTCAACATTGTAGAGTATTATATGCCCGATCGCGTGCTGTGATACTTTGGGAAGGTGCAAGGGATTCATTTTGAGCCTCTCAAGTGAGATAGGATAGAGAAGATATACACCCCACAAGTTGGATTGACGAGTGTTATATGTCATTTTTGACGTACCTTAGTCCCTCAAGAAAAATAAAGGAGAGAGCCGGCTACAACCTAGCCATAACGGCACGTAAGGCACAATCGCATGGGAACAGTAGCCGAGAAGAAGCCTTGAACCAGAACGACCAAGAGAAAACGCCTACATAACCAAGAGGCAAAGTCTCATGCTGCCACCGTGAACATAGGAACTGGGTAGGTACGCCAAACTGTCGTTGACATCGTCTTCCAAATGAGTGGGCCCGGGCTCAGTCGAGTCAACCCAGCAGCACTAAGCCTGACCCATCACAAAATAGGGCAGAGGCATGCTTCCACCGTACAGCTTGGGCCACTCCTTGACGAGCTCGCGATTCCTCCCCTGCAGCAGAAGAGTGGCGGAAGCCTCAGACGTTGGCAAAGCCTTGACGACACCGTCCTCCGAACATGCAAAAGTGAAAACAAGTCTGCCTTGCGAAGGGAGAAAAGACCGCTTGAATTCATGGATGCCAGAATCCTCAGAAAGACATCTTGACCCTCACAGAGAACTTGGTCGCGTGGGAACTAAGACCAAAAGGACCCTCCAGAAAGAAACCCAAGTCAACATGACAAGCGGCGTGCAAAACAAAAACAGAAAGGCACAAAACCCAAGGTCACAGAAGAAAACGAAATCCCCGATCGTCGAAATCCCTTTTCTGGTGATCTCTCGAAAAACCCGAATAATTTCACATAACAAAGACCAAAAAAGCAAACTAAAACATGTTGCAAAAACACTGAAAAGACTTTCCCCAGGCTCACAAGCAACGCAGAAACACTGCAGATCACGAAAGAAACCATCGAAGAGTTCATAAAACTAACCGGACTCCTTCCTTCACAAAAGAGATTGCTGCAATACGATCAAAAGAGATCAAAACGATCACAAGAAAACGAACGTCAAGAATATAACAATACATTGAATGAACTCACGCTGCAAGTACCTGGAAAGAGCTCTCAAAGTTTGATAATGGCGATGGCCTCCGTAGAAAAGGACACATTTGTCATTTGTACAAAAGAGTTTAAGGGGCATTTTGGTCATTGTACTCAATTTTGGGATTTTATTTTAATTGTATTTAGGCTTAGTTTTTGAGTATCCACCCTTGTTTGGTGAGAACTCTATATAAACAAACTCAAGTCAATTGTAAAAAGGGGGATTATGATTCAATAAAGAAGATGTAGTACGCTTTCTTTTGCTTGTCTTTTCTCTTAACCCTAGCATCCCAAAGAGAGGAGAGAGAAAAACTTTGCAAGAGAGAGAAATACATCCTGATCGCACGTGTACGTACCTCTCCTCTTGAAGATACCTAACACCACATGAACTTTCTCTCTTCCCCTCTAAACATGTAATCCCACACACGTGTGAAACTACGCGGGCGCAAGTAACTCAAAAGACTCAAACCAATGCACGGCCGCATCTAGTCCCCCTTTTTCCCAATCAGTTTAACCAAAATTGAGGAAACCCCCTGCTCGCCATTTCGACCACCCGAAGAGACATCATTGAAAGAAAACCAACCCAGGAGAGAAGAATTAAGACATCCATTGAAATTTAAACCTGAGAGAGGAGAAAGAGTCGATAACGTCTGAAGAGAGTCCCTAACCAAACCATACTGGTGAACAGTCGAAGGGCTTTCATAATTGATCTAAGAGGGCAGGCCGCCTAGATGTGTCCTACGAACCCGCAATGACAAGGTGAGTAAATTGACATTCTCTCGTTGTAAAATCTCTCTCTCTCTTTGTTGATAGCATATCCGCATTCGAGAAAGCACGCGCGCTCGCGTCACCCAACGCATCACGCGCACGAGCCTTTTGTGGTTGTTTGAGAGACGATTTCCTCCTTGCGCCGTGCGCAAGGGATCTAGAGAAAATCGAGCCCCGACCAACTGGCAACTCCACTGGGTATGTGCCACCCTGCAGTTTGCTCGGCCTGTTTTCAGACGAAAACCCTCTTCTCCTCTCTTTCAAAAATCTCAATGAACTCCCACTCTTCTTCTTACTTCCAAATCGGGGACTTTCTCATCCCCCATATCAAATGACTCACTCTTCCACGAGTGGGTTAGCTGGTCCTGCTATCCTAGTACAACCTAAGATGGCTTGGAGTTTGAGCACCCATGCCCCTACTCCTTCCTCCTCACATATAAGAGAGAACCCACTAATGTTAACTCTAAGGGCTGCACCGTAGCCACTCCCCCACATCCTCACGACTGACACCTTGTCAGCAGTAAACCAAGGAGCAGGCTCCTCGCAGCCCTTCCCTGCAGCTCGGTGGACCCTAACAGGGCTGCCACCTCCACCGGCGCCCGTAAAGCAGGTCGGCCCATACCACACGTCATCAACGCATGTCTGTCCTCCTTCACACACACTTACCTTACAGCTGATAGCCTGGCCATCGCCTTGACAGATCGAGATAGATGGCAGCCCATCTCAATCCTTTCACCCACTATGGGTCGCCTCAGACCCAAACTCGCCACGCGGTCTGCCAACCGCCTGCACGCCACATAATGAACTCACCGCTCGGGGCAACCCAGATGGTAGACCGAACCGAGCACACGACCTTCAGATCAACCAAAGGTCTGAAAAACACCTGCACATACATGTCGAAGGCCGTAAGGCCCACCAAACCAACCGGGAGGGAATTCCAAGTGCCTAGCCCCATGTAGCACGGAGGGATGGGTCTAGTGCCGTCCCAAACACTCCGATAGATCGCACACACCATTGCAGGATCAAGCCCCCCACCAGCAGAAGGGAGGAGACACTGAAGGTCCAAGCTGGCAACCGAATATTGCCCACCGTTTGACCCTCAAAGAAGTTCCCTACAAGCACGATTCTTTCGACCCATCCACGCTATACATGCAAGATACCCCTCAGGGCAGGTCTCGAGTCAAGCCACACGTGAAGATGACTAGTCGGCTAGCCGTTCGGTCGACGAAGCCTAGGTCGCCAAGGACGATTGCATGACCTTCCCTTTCGAAAACCAACCCACTCCCTCAACACAGGCAAGCAAGGCGAGTGCAGACTGCCTCATAAGGAGGACAAGCAAAACCTTCGACCACTGAAGGTCTGCTAAAGGAAAACCAATTCTACCTGCTACAAGATGCAAGAGAGTTCACGATGGATGATGTCATTGAATGTCATGTCGTCGAGGTACGTGAGGTCGAGTTCAACCCACCTGATTCGCAAAGCCCAAGTAGACTCAAGCAAGTTAAAGAGATATGGCCCCAAGGCTGTCACATGCCCACCCAAGTTGAGCCATGGCCCCAAGGGCTTCAAACATCATGCTTGACGAAGTCTCATCCTCCATTCCTCTCGGAGCCCGTACTCACAAGGGCTGCGAGGCAATCTCAGGCCCAGATAGGACAGGCTCAACTACTTCTGACTGGTATCCCAAATCAAGGCACTAAGAGGCCTAGGATCATCCCCCCAGCCGAGCCGTCTGGTCTCGACGAACAGGTCGAAGCAATGGTGGTAAGTCACGAAGAAGGGGAACAGGAAAATCCGTCTGAAAGCATCGAAAGTATCTTAAAAGATATCCTTGACAGGATCAAAAGACTGGAGGACACTCGTACCGCGATGCCCCCCCCACCAGGAAGTGAATTCTCCCTGCGGACTCTAATATGATGAAAGAGAGAGGCCACAGCCACCTCTCGTAGGCCAGGTATCAACAAAATGTGACCCACGCACCTCCTTCCAAGATCAGCATAACGTTGCTTCTCAGGCCGCATCAACAACCTTCACCCAAGAAGATGTACAAAGGATGATCAACAAGAGCATCCAAGGCCTCTAGGTGTCAAAAACACCCGAGAGCCCCCAATACAAAAAGCCTTACCTGCCTTCAATTGACCAGGTCCCCTTCCCTACCGAATACCATAAAGGGAAATTGCCAGTCTTCGACGGGTCGGATCAACGCAACAACACATAGCCCACTTCACGTCCGCGTGCCAAGAATTAGCCACGAACACCGGACTACTCTTACGACAGTTCGTTGAAACACTTGTGGGACCCACATTCAAATGGTATGCATGGCTACCACCAAATTTAGTCCTCTCTTGGGAGGAGACAAAACAACTCTTCTACAAATGCTTCTTTGAAGCGGATTTGGATGTCCAAACTACAGAACTCCTCAACATGACGCAAGAGCCAAATGAGTTGATGGGAAAATATATCCAGAGATTGCGTGACCTCGCCATGTGCCTAAGCAACCCATGAGCGAAACAAAGGCAGTGCAAACATGTGTAAGGAACATGAAGCGAGAAATCGCCTTACATGTCGAGGCTTCTAACCCCACCACCTTATTCGACATGATTACCAAAGCTGTTAAGATTGAAAGTTTATTAAAACACCATGGAGGAGACCTAGCCCAAAGCTCGTGTAAGGACCCAGAATAGAGCGAGCGACGAGAGAGAGCTCGGCAAGGGAGCTCGCGGTGATAGAGAGCACGACGAGAGAGCACACGGCGAGAGAGCGCGCGGCGATAGAGGACACGACAAGAGAGCACGTGACGATAGAGCGCACGACGAGAGAGCGCGTGGCGATAGAGCGTGCGACGAGAGAGAGCGCGGCAAGAGAGCACGCGGCGTTAGGGCGCACGGCGACGGCTCTGGTTCTGGTGCACATAAAGGACGTCTACCACTTGTTGTGTTCAGGATGCCACTTGCCCATTCCAGGCACCACGTGGACAGCCACCCAACTTCTTGAGTATTTAAGCCTCTCCCTTACCCATGCCACTTATTCTTCCTTTATCTCTCTCTCTCTCTCTCTAAGGCAAAGGTTTGGGGAAGACTTGGTGGGCAGCCATTGTGGGAGTAGGTGTGAGCTGTGAAAGAAGAGTTTTTGAGAAGGCACCACTACTGTTATGTAAGTGGATCAATTACCATTGTATTGTGGTCATAAGGATGCATATAGTATATGTTTATGAGATGAGTAATGAGAGTGCATGTAGTGTCGCATTCTCTTATCCCTTGTTCACTGAAACTTGGGGTTTTTGTTTTATGATGAACGTGGATGCTAAAAATGAACGTATAGCTCACAAATTTTGTAGGAAATGTATGTTTGTGTATGTATGATGTGTAAGAATAGTTATTAGGATGTTTTCTCTAAAACTTGAAGGTTATGGATCATGTTTATGAAGTATGTTATACTACTGTGAAATTCCAGGAGCATGTATATTTTTGAAAGAGGCTTTTGAATAGTCAAATGGGGTTTGATTGACCTCAAATTACTACCATTAGAGATATATGTGAGTCTAATAAAATGTTCGTGTTTTCCCTTTGCTGAAATTCTTTATAAACATGAAGTTATATACCAAAATGTATGAACATGTCACTGTTGACTATTTTCCTGGATTTTTTCACTGCTACTGCGGTTGCCACTAGTTTTAACTATCCAAACGAAGTCTATTTCCTATCAAACTACCACCATTTGAAAGATCTTTGAGTGAACTAAAAGTTGCATGTAGAAAGTATTTTGAAATTCCTCTTAGATTGGAAGTTATGTACCTTTTTATTTTTATAAAGAGATGTCACTATGGACAGTTTTGATAAAGAGCAAAACTATCATTTTGATTGACACTGACTTTTGAACAACCAAATGGAGTTCAAATGCTTTCAAATTGGCCTTGTTAGAAATATATATATTTTTTCTTGAACTTTGATTTTTGGAAGTGTCTCAAATTCTTTATGATTTAAGAGTTATAGTGGTGCGAAGTAGGGTATCTCGTTGCTCCATGTACACAGCAGGGTACTGCGATTAATCCTCATCCTCTTGAACTTTTAAGAGGGCCAATGAGGTCCAATTGTCTTCGAACCACCTTCGTGCGAAAGATAGGTGTGTCTAATACAAAATTTGTTTTGGAACCATTTAAACTTTTAATGGACCAGAAGTTACGACCCAAATTGTGAGCACACGTCATTGCTTACAATTGTAGGAAATTGAACTGTAAAGCTTAAACTGGAATATCGTTAGTGCCACTATGATATTGTCCTTATTACACTGTTAAGATGCGATGTTGCTACTGTCATGTTAAGATACTGATATTGTCATAATGAGACATTGATACTATAATTCTGACCCTATGCAATGGGGCAACCACTTGTAGCGGACACAGTTATATTGATGTGATATGTGAATGGGCACCTATTGGTTGAATGATGGTTCCGTTAATATGCTATTTGTGTGATATGTGAATGGGCACTTACTGTGTGAATGATGGTGCCGTTAATATGCTATTTATGTGATATGTGAATGGGCACTTACTGTGTGAATGATGGTGCCGTTAATAAGTTACTTATGTGATATGTGAATGGGCACCTACTGTATAAATGATGGTGCCGGCAGCTGCAAACTTTCCCTAACTTCCCATGATAGGACAGGAGTTAGGATGTGAATGTGAACATTTGAGTGGGTTGTGCCCCCCAGGTCTTTATGGGCACTATGCATTGGGTCACCCAATGGTTGTGTCGTACTCTCTCGCCAAAAGGGCATAAGGAGCTGGTCGTGTCTTGCAAGGCCACTGCCTACTAAAAACCCCAAAGGGCATTGGGTGTGTGTGTGTGTGTGTGTGTGTGTGTGTTTGTGTGTGTATGTGAGGGCATTATGAAGTAGGGCACCCGCTTATCATTGTCCTCGCTCCTGAATGAGGGTAGAGGTTCCAAGCTACAAGATTTGCTTAGCCTCAGCAATGGAACTTCTATTTCTGGAATAGACCTCTCAAGCTTCTGCCACTGTGATTTGTTATCCTTATTGTTCTGCTTAAAGGGAAGTGACTTCTAATTTATGCACTGTGTATTAAACTGATTTTCTTATTATACTATTAGAATACTGAAAAGCTTTCTAGAGGACTTTCTCTTGATGCTCTGTGAATTAGTGTGAACTGCTTACTGTATCACTATTTATATAGTTGGGATGCAATGGTGTAGATTTGCTTACTGGGCTTTCAACTCACTCCTTTTTATTTACATGATTGTAGAGTAAAGGGTGTTAGTATTCGTGATGGAGGCAAGTAAGTCGTGTTTGGGTTGCTGAAGCTCGAAGTTCGAGGAGGTAAAGAGCCGTGTTTTGAAGATTTTCATAGTATGTTTTGGGTGGACTTACGATTGTGATGTAGACTTTATTTTGTGTATTTTGGGCCAGTAGAGCCTTGAAGAAAATTGTAAGTACTTTTGGATATCGATGTGAATGGTTTGACCGTACTTTTGGATGTACAACTTGTCTTTATGTGTAGATTTTAGTTTTTCTTTCACAGTTTGCTCTTGATTCCGCGTTTTCATGCTATTGAGCCACTCCCACCCGAGTGACGTTTGCCACCTCACATCGTGATCCCGCTCCCTGCCATCACCAGCTCGTACAGTTTAGGGCCCAGGGAAGGGGTCGTGACAGTTATGGTATCAAAGCAGCCAGGATAGGATTCTTGGCTTAGGTAGTCTTAGGAGTGTCTGTAGGATAGGTCTTTGATAGGCTAGTAATGGGATGTTTGTGTTTTAGGTTGAAGATGTCGAAGACTCATGCTAACAACGCGAGTTCAAGCAATGAGAATACCGAGGCCTTCAGTGAATACTTCAGAACTTTGGGGGCTATGACACAAATAATGTGAGATTTTATGCTGGCCCCGTCTACCCCGGCCCCTAACCAGAGCGATAACAGTTTGATAGAAAGGTTCATTAGACTAGTACCTCCAAACTTTGTGGGGCATGGCGGAGTAGAGAAGGCTAAGAGATGGAGAAGACAGATAGAAAATATCTTTGAAGATTTAAATTGTACACATGAGCAGAAGGTTAGGTTGGGTACGTTTATGCTCGAAGGAGAATATGAGCACTGGTGGAGCTCAGTAAAGCAGTCGTGGGAAAAGATGGGAATTGTACCTACTTGGGAGAATTTTCTAGAAGTATTTTATAAGAAGTATTTTCTTGACTCTATAAGGGAAAGGAAAGAGGTAGAATTTATAGAGCTGCAACAGGAAAGGATGTCTGTAGAGCATTATGCAACGAAATTTACTGAACTCTCCATATATGTGCCACATATTATTAACTCTGAGGCACCAAAGGCTAGCAAGTTTGAGAGGGGCCTTCAGCCCGATATAAGGGGAAGGGTTATTTTAGCAAACCTCAAGACCTACTCTTTGGTGGTGGACCTGACCCTAAAGATAGAGAGAGATTGTGAAGACTTTCAAGCTTGAAGAGAAAGGAAATTGGGTGTCACACAGCTTGGAAGTTTTAAGAAGAAAACACGACTGCCTCTCAGGAAAGAATTGAAGGGGAAAAATAGTCAGGGCGGTGTCAAGATTCCAGGGGTTTTTTCAAATGATGTAAGGACCAGCCGACATCCAATCTACCCTCACTGTGGTCTGGGCAACCATACAACAGTGAAGGGCTACAGGAAGACTAGGGCCTGCTTCCGATGTGGCAAGCCAGGTTATCTTGTAAAAGACTGTCCCGTCAAAGGATCAAAGGACAGACCAAGTGCTCAAGGGTGGGTGTTTGCCCTGACAAATCAAGAGGCGAAGGCGTCAACCTCTATTATTCGAGGTACGCTTTCTGTATGTGGATTTGAATCAAGAGTTTTAATTGATCCTGGATCTTTCCATTCATTTTTTGCATTACACTTTGCATGTCACTTGAATGTTAAGCTTGCACAACTTCATTGGACTTTGGTAGCATGTACACCGTTGGGTGGGTCGATAAAAACTAATATAATATATAAGCAGTGTGGGGTTGATATTGAACGACATTTGTTGCTTATAAATTTGATACTTCTAGATGTTCAAGCCTTTGAGGTTATCTTAGGTATGGACCGGTTGTCCACCCACTATGCCACCATGAACTGCTTTGCTAAGACTATAACCTATAGACGCCCGGGCCAACCTGAATTACATTTTAAGGGCATTAGGGATGTTTCTCCTTTACACATCATCTCAACCCTTCGGGCCTCTCGCATGTTGGCCAAAAGATATGTGGGATACTTGGCTTATGTAGTAGAAAATCGGAATGTTCAGTCCAAATTGGAACAGATATCGGTGGTGAGAGCCTACCTAGAGGTCTTCGCAGAAGAGTTAGCTTCTCTACCCCCAGTTAGGGAGATTGAATTTGAAATAGAGGTGGCCCCTGATACTACTCCTATATATAAAGGCCCATATAGGATTGCCTCAGTTGAGTTAAAGGAATTGAAGGAGCAATTACATGAATTGTTAGATAAGGGGCTCATCCGACCTAATGTGTCACCATGGGGCACACTTATTCTGTTTGTTAAGAAGAAAGATGGTACCTTGAGATTATGCATTGACTAGAAACAGTTGAACTAGGTCACAGTGAAGAATAAGTACCCATTGCCCAGAATTGATGACGTTTTTAACCAATTACAAGGGGCCCAAGTGTTTTCTAAGATTGACTTCCGGTCAGGTTACCAACAGTTGCTGGTTAAGGAAGAGGATAACTCCAAAACCGCATTCAGGACTCGTTATGGCCACTACAAGTTCTTAGCCATGCCTTTTGGGTTAACAAAGACCCCAACCATCTTATTGGATCTGATGAACAAAGTTTTTAGACCCTATCTGGATGACTTTGTAGTGGTCTTTATAGATGATATTTTGATATATTCTAGGAATCAAGAAGAACGTGAACGATATTTAAGAATTGTCCTCCAGACCCTAAGAACAGAGAAGTTATATGCCAAGCTCAGTAAGAGTGAATTCTGGCTTCCAAGCGTGGCTTTTTTTGGGCGTATTGTTTCCAAAGACGGGGTAGCAGTTGATCTTTGTAAGATTGAGGTTGTTCTCAAGTGGGAAAGACCAACAAATGTATCTGAAGTCTATAGTTTCCTAAGACTGGCAAGGTATTATAGACGTTTTGTAGAGGGGTTCTCGAAGTTAGCACTTCCTCTGACCCGCCTGACCCAGAAAGAAGTCAAGTTTAAATGGTCTGATAACTGTGAGAGAAGTTTTCAAGAACTGAAGAAAAGACTTAACTATGGCCCCGATACTGACCTTGCCCGAGGGAAATGAAGATTTTATAGTCTACACGGATGCCTCGCACAAAGGGCTTGGGCGTGTATTGATACAACGAGGAAAGGCTTTAGCCTACGCCTCTAGGCAATTAAAGTCGTATGAACAAAACTATCCCACTCATGATTTGGAGTTGGCGGTTGTGGTTTTTGCCCTAAAAATTTGGAGGCATTATCCATATGGGGCCCAATTTAAAGTATTTACCGACCATAAGAGCCTCAAGTACTTGTTTTCTCAAAGAGAAATAACCATGAGACAAAGAAGGTGGATGGACTTGCTCACTGATTATGATTGTACCATCAACTACCACCTAGATAAGACAAACGTCGTGACAGATTCCTTAAGTAGGGAGCCCGTGGTGTTAGTGGCTGACATGATGGTTTGAGAGATGAAACTATTAGAAGATGCAGTAGAATGGCACCCAACTCTGTCCCTTGATGATGGGCAGGGAACAATTTCATGTATAAGAGTAGAGCCCCATCTCTTTCAGCAAATCCAAGTAGCGCAAAAGGAAGATCTTCAGCTCATGAAAATTTTTGAGGAATTAAAGTCGATAGGAAAAGAGGAGTTTGCCTAGGGCAGTGATGAAACGTTAAGATTTGAAGGACGGATTTGTATCCCCAACAATGAGAAGGTAAAAAGGGCTGTTTTGGAAGAGGCGGATCACTCCCATTATACGGTACGTCCAAGGAGCACGAAATGTACCAAGATTTAAAAAGAATAGTTCGGTGGAATAATATGAAGAAAGATGTAGCACAATTTGTCTCTAAGTGTTTGGCATGTCAGCAAGTAAAGGCTGAACATCAGAAGCCTATTGCACAGTTACAGCCCTTACCTGTGCCGGGGTGGAAATGGGAGCACATAACTATGAATTTTGTGTCTAGTTTGCCTAAATCAAGTATGGGGCATGATAGTATTTGGGTTATTGTAGACCGACTCACTAAAGCTGCTCATTTCTTGTCGATCCACACTACCTACACCCTGGACAAGTTGGCCCAGCTTTACATCAAGGAGATCATAAGACTTTATGGGGTGCCTGTTAGTATTGTGTCTGACAGGGATTCTAGATTTTCTTCAAGGTTTTGGAACAGTTTATAGTCGGCCATGGGGACCAAAACTCGCTTTCAGTATAGCTTTCCACCCTTAAATTGATGGACAATCGGAAAGAACCATTCAGACATTAGAAGATATGCTGAGGGCCTATGTTACAGAGTTCAAGGGAATCTGGGATAATCATCTGCCTCTGATAGAGTTTGCTTATAACAACAGTTTTCAGGCCAGTATCCAGATGGCACCATTTGAGGCACTGTATGGGAGGAAGTACAAATCACTCATATGTTGGGATGAAGTCAGTGAGAGAAAATTGTTAGGGCTAGAGATTGTTCAAATGACCTCAGAAAAGATCGCTCTAGTCTGAGAAAGACTTAAAATGGCCCAAAGTCGACAGAAGAGTTATGCCAACAATAAGAGAAGGGACCTTGAGTTTGAAGAGGGTGATCGAGTCTTTTTGAAAGCATCACCAATTACGGGGATAATGAGATTGGGCAGAAAGGGAAAACTAAGCCCACCATTCATTGGACCCTTTGAGATTTTAAAAAGGATTGGAGTCGTGGCATATCAATTGGCCCTACCGCTCGAGTTGGCCAACATTTATGATGTATTCCATGTGTCGCTATCGAGAAAATATCAGCTCGATCCGTCCCACATTTTGAAGTATAAGCCGATCCTGATTAGGGAAGATTTGACTTATGTGGAGCAGCTAATTGAGATTCTGGACATAAGGATTCAAGTTCTGTGCAACAAAGAGATTCCCTTAGTCTGGGTTTTATGGCAGTATCATTCGAAGGACGAATCAACGTGGGAGAAGATGAAATTCGAGGTTCTTACCCCCATTTATTTAGTTAACTGACGATTTTGAGGACAAAATATTTTTAAGGGGGGGATGATGTAAGGACCTAGAATGGAGTGGGCGGCAAGAGAGCGCGTGACGAGGGAGCACGCGGCGATAAAGCACGCGAAGAGAGAGCGCGCGGCGATATAGCGCACAGCGAGAGAGCGCACGGCAATAAAGCGCGCAACCATAGAGCACGTGGTGATAGAGCGTGCAGTGTTAGGGGGCGCAGCGACGGCTCTGGCGTGCATGAAGGACGTCCACCACCTGTTGTGTTCTGGATGCCACTTGCCCAGCCCTGGCACCACGTGAACAGCCACCCAACTTCTTG